GTAAATAGTGATGGCAGTGCTCTAGGAAACCCTGGAAAAATAGGAGCAGGGATCATCATCAGAGACCACAATGGGAATTTCATCCATGCTATTTCTTCCCCCTTGGGAACTGGCACCAACAACCAAGCTGAAGTACAAGCTGCCCATATTGGTCTGTCATGGTGTATAGAACAGGGGTATACCAAGATTCATCTGGAGGCAGACTCTAGCATCCTTATCCATTGGTTAACCAATAACACCACCACTCCATGGAACATGTTCACTTATGTCCAAAAGCTCAAAGACATGTGCAACCTCTGTGAGGAAATTACCTTTACCCATGTCTTCAGAGAAGCCAATTACCCTGCTGACTCCTTATCTAAACTCAGTCACACACTTACCTCCCTTATCCATTACCAACAGCTGGAGAGCCTTCCTTCATCAATCAGAGGTCAGATTCTACAGGACCAAAATGGAACACCTTCTTTCAGACACAAGCTGACCAAAAAGATTCAGCTTCCACCTCACATGTCCCATTTCTACTCCCATGTCCATGACTAGCATCACCTATGTAAAGAAGCAACCCCCTCTAATCCAAATACCACAATCAAATCACACAGCCCCCACCAAAACCATACAGTTTCTAACCATCAACACAAAACACCACAATATTTTCCACCACAATACCAACCCAGCTCCTCTAATAACCAGACCACATCACCAACAAATACCAAGCAGGAACAAGAATAAGGGCAGCAATGTCCAATTTTACTCTAACTGTGTGCTCCTTTTGCAGGTTTTTCTCCTCTGGAAGCTATCCAAGTCCTTAATGTTGGATCAGATTGATATAGAATTCAAAAGAAAAGCACAAAGCCTCATACCATCATCCCAATTCTGTACCATACACCACTGCAGATCACCCAACATAAAGCACAAACACAACCACCCTCCTATGTCTATTATTTCCACCCCTCCTCAACAACTCACAACTCACAAGCACTCAACAGCCACTCTCCCCAGAGATACCAGTTCCTCTTCAATGCCTCTCCAATTGGACATACAGTACTCTACAGGTGAGGCCAGGTCTGCAGAAAAGATTCTGGGGTTCCAATTTCCTCTCCCTCACTTAGCACCTTTGAAGCCCTCCCTGAGACCATGCCATCTACCCTTCCCTTCATCAACCCCATTCTCACACCACCATACATATACACCAGAAAAATCAAGAACTGCAGAACCCAAAAATGCAGAAACCTTCAGCATAATTTCTGTCTGCAGCTATGAATTCTCCAGTTACATAGTTCAAACACCACTCCATAATACCAAACCACAAATCCTCAGTCTTTGTCACTTCCCACTTACATGCATCAACACTCACTTATCAGTTGTTACAATTCCATCTCCTCCCCCTCTCTTCATTTTTCACAAACAAGGGGTCATAATTCCCCCCCTGTCCCCAGACTCATATCCAGCCTCCTGGATTATGAGCCCCCCTTCCCTAACTGGTTATTTCATTTTTGCAGGTACTGGGAGCAAAAGTGTTCAACTGATACACTACCAACCAGTGGTATTAGCATACCAGATGCTCATTCTGTTGGGAGTGTATCAATTGAACATAGTCTCTCCATCTTCCCCCATGTCAAGCTTAAGACCAACCCCTCCATTCACAGCACTTACAAGCTTCAGAAGACCATCAGTTTGCAGTAAAAGCCTCATGAAACTGAAGGAGTTTCAGCAGCATCACACACAGCTGGCCACCAATGCAACTACCTATGCCTCAGAATGGACAGTTGATATAGGAGGTGCCTCATCTCAATGCCCACTCTCTCAAGTCAGAATTCTCATGCAGCAGTCTCATTGTGCATCCTTCTTTCTGACTATTGTCTTCCCTCTTGCCTTCTATTTCTACATTGTCAAAGCAAGATGGAAGATAACCCCCATCATGGAATCCTTTTGCTCACTAGTCCTTCTAGGACATTTCTGCATTTGTTGTAGCAGTTTTTGTAATATATGGAAGAATATCTTCCAACTCCCTAGTTATGTAGATTTAGGACTTCTAATGCAATTGTGTATAGTTGACCTAGGCTTACTTCACTTGTATTTTGTACAACCAATTGTCGATCATGTTTGGATAGGCAATTGGTACATCATAGGTCTAACTTACCATAGTGTTCAGGTGCCATGTGGTTGCCATATGTGGCCAACCAAATGCACTTTCATCTTAATTGTGGAGGTAAGGTTTATGTCCCCCTTCACCTGTATTGTAACCTTGTTGCTATATATGAAAATCAACCCTAGGCTAAATGTCTAGTGGATTTTATAAAAAAAAAAAAAAAACCCTAAACCCTAAACCCTAAACCCTAAAACCTACATAATAGGAATTATGTAGAATTCAATTTTATTTTCGTACATTTGGTAGGATACCATGACATTTTGTTTTCCTTTACTTTGTTGTCTATAAATAAAAAATAACCCTAGGCTATGCCTAGTGGATTTTGCTAAAAAAAAAAAAAAACCCTAAACCCAAAACCCTAAACCCACGTTTTCTCTGCCTTCTCTCTAGAACTAGGCGATTTTTATATTTTAGAGAGAGAAAGCTCGAATTCCGGCAGCCATGGCCACTGTGGCCGGCGGCCAGCCACCAACGATGGCTGGGCTGCCTCCCCAACCCCCACCCACTGTTACCCAACCCCCAGCAACAACAAACAACACTGCGCATCCTTACAATTTGCCTAACGAGAATACTGTACCAATGAATTACGCCAAAGCAGTGCAAAATTCGAACAACACTGCCATGCAAGAACGTGCGTCTACTGTTGAACCAATTACGTTGAGGCGAGCGGCACTGGTTAATGGGCAACCTATGGTGCAATTTACGGAGGCTGAGGTAGATCGAATGAATGTTATAGAAGGCCTCCAATATGCGGTGGTTGGTAAATTTTCGTATGGTTGGCCAGATTTAAATGAGATTCGACGTATAGTACCCATGCAATGTGGAATTAAAGGTGAGTGTAATATTGGCTACTTGCGTGATAGACATGTCCTTATCCGTATGACCTTATGGCAAGACTTTGTTGATTTTACATCAAAAGGTGCTCAATATATTAAAGACAAGCATGGACATGAATATCAGATTAGACCTCTTATTTATGATGTTAAATTTAAAGCTGGAGAGGAGACTCCAATGGCTATGGCTTGGATTTCTTTCCCAGGCTTGTTACCTACTTACTTTGTGAAAGAGTGTCTATTTTCACTTGCATCAGCTGTGGGAAAGCCATTGCACTTAGATATGGCTACTATCAATAAGACTAGACCTAGTTGTGCTAGGGTCAAAGTGTTGGTGGATCTTTTAGCTGATCATCCTAAAAAGGTTAGAATGGACATTGTGAATGAAGCTACAGGGGAAGTTAGAACAGAATGGGTAACTATCAAATATGATATGTTGCCTAAGTATTGCAAAGCATGTAGATTACAAGGGCATGATGACTTTGAATGCTGGAGGCAACATCCTGAATTATCACCTTATGATCAAGGAAAAAATAAGGAAAATAAAGGTAAGGAGCAGACTCAGAAGCAAACTAATCAACCATTGATGATTTTGTCAAGTGGTAGAGTTGTAGGTAATGTGACTTCTAATGTAGAACAATGGAAAGAAGTGAGAGATAATCGAGGGAAGAAAAACAGCACCCAGGAAGCTAATGGAAAGGAAATAGTACCAATAAATCAACCAAACTTCCAGCAGATTCAGGGGCAGCAGGTGGAGGAGGTGTGTACTCATAGACAGGGTGGGCAAGAAATTATTCTGGCAAATGTTCACAATGTAATGCAAGCTCATAACTGTGAAGGATCAGGAAAGGAAATTACTCCAGCAAACATTAATGTGCAACAAAGTAATGATATTACAAGGGAGGAAGTGGTGGCAGATGGTTCAAATAATCAGCAAATTCAAACTTCTAATATGTTTGCTGTATTGGAGGTCCAGGAGGATGATGATGCAGGGATAAATCAAATAGTGGAAGTTGGAAATAAAAGCACTGTTAATTCTACCAAGAAACTAAATCATACAGCAGCAGTATTTACTCCAAAATCTACTGGAATTGGAAGTACAACAAATAAGGAAGATAATGAGAAGCACAGGAGCAAGAATAATGAAATGGTGGAAGACAATCAAAAAGATTCAACAGTAGCCTGGGTTAATAGAGCTTTCAATGCTAATATTGTAGCCACTAATCAGTCTTGTCAGGAAGTTCCATCTCAGGCAACTGAGATTGATGCAAATTTGAGAAATATCAATGTTACTGAAGATATACAAGCAGAAGGGAGGAGAATATGGAGTCAGCAAGTAGAAGAGGATTCAGATGAAGGGGAACTGCCAGAAGGTGCATGTGGAGAAGTGGAATCATCAGATGAAGAGGTAGATCAAGAAGAACAAAGTGTCAATAACAATGACAAAGGACAACAGTCAGTGGGAAACAACAAAAAAGACAAGCAGAAACAGGGTGATAGGCCTGTAACAAATATGGATGGAGATGGAGCACAACTGATTCATAAGGATGTGCCTCCAGATAAATCCAAAGAATTGCAATTGACAGAAATGCAGCATGAAGTTAGAGTTGAGAATATAGGTGTATCAACTTCTATTCAGTCATGTGATATGGCTCCAGCTAAAGGTGACATACAATCAATACAATTGGTACACAAAAGATCAAGACAAGGGTAATG